CGCTTAGCCTTATATAGCCTATCGGCATAGCTTTATCTAATATTAATATTATACTCTGCCTATTCCTAGGTAAGGTATATTTATATATATAGTATAATAACTTCTCCTAGGTAAAGGCTAGTCTTATTATATCCTTATCTTATTATTCTAAGGGTCTTAGTTATATAGATAATTATCTAAGGTTTATTATTAATTTATATAAATCTTATTTATTTCTTACCCTCGGGGAATTATAATTATTATTAAGGCTAATAATATCTTTCCCGGATATTTTATTACTTCTTATAATAGATCTTCTCGATATAATTTATTTTATAGTAATAATAATATTTAAGTCTATAATAATCCCACTTACCTTATTAAGTAATTCTAAGCTATATAAGTCCTACGTAGGTTCTATAAGATATATTAGGTTATTATAATCGTCCTTAGTTAATATTAAACTAGGGGTTAATTACCTTATTACTATTAAACCTAGGGTTTTATAATTTTTTCTATAAAAATTATTAATTATTAATTCTAATTACCTTACCGATATAATTAACTAGGTTATTAGGTCGATCTTTCTTATAAAGCTCTATTTATACTTCTTTCTTAAGTCTATTAAAGAAAAGGGATATTAAGGGTTCTTAATCTTAATTAAGTTTTAAGGCGAGTTAGAGGTATTTTATTTTATATTCTAAGGCTAATTAGGTTTATCTAAGGTTTTTAATTTCCCTCTTAGCTTATCCTTTCTTATTAATTATTTTAAAAGCTTATTAAAATATAGCTTTAAAAGTATTATAGCTTAAATAGAGATTATTAGTTTATAATATAAGTCCGGCGAATAAGGTTATATAATACTCCCTTATAACTAGTTTAAACTATGCGGTAATATAGCCTTTAAGTCTTCTTATAGTATATTAGACTTTATTAGCTACTAAGGTAAATTAGGTTAGATAATAGGTTATAAAAGCGCATAGCTATATAAGAAAGGTTAATAGCTTATACGCGGTTCTATTAAATATCTCTAATAGGTTTAGCTTTAGGATTTCTCTTATATCCTTACCCCTTATAATAATAATAGCTAGGTTATTAAGGTCTTAGATATTATTTAGGTATTATATATTCTAAGTATATTAAGTTTAATCTATTTTTTTAATAAATTTATAGAGTTTATTTATCTCGGTGCTTATAATAATAATTTAGGCTTAGAGCTATTTAACTTCTTTATTATTAGAGCTATTCGCTTTATTTATTTCTTTATTAATTAGGGTAGCTTATATAGGTATAGTAGGTAAGTAATTAATAGGTAAGACCTATTCGTTATTATTAATAGGGTTTACCTAAGTAGCTATTATATTTAATATTATTTAAAGTAATATAAATAATCCTCTAAATAAGAGCTATTAATATATAATAATATAGTTAGATCTAAGGGATAAACTAGTTATATTAGGTTTATATTAATAGGGGATTATTAATATTATCTTAAATAAGGGTATAAATTATATCTAGTAATATACTTAAGGGTATTAAGTATAACTAAGTTATATTAATAGCTAAGATAGCTACTATATAAGAAAGTATAATAAGTATATTTTATATACTTTTAGGTATTAATTATAATTACTTTATCTATTAGTCCTAATTATAATAATTATATAAGTAATTAGGGTAATTAATAAGGTAATTACTATAATTACTTAGTATTAAGGGTAATCGCTTATTTAATTAGTAGGGAATTATGGGGTCCTGCTTATGCATATAATAGGTATATATTAGGCCGTAATAGATAAGAGGAAAAGTAAGGGCTAGCGAAGCTAGATTAGAAACTATAGTTAGTTCTTAGTAGAATTAAGGATAGATAATATATCTAGCGGGGATATTTAGTATTACTAGCTCTATAATAATAAGGGTATATTATGATTTTTTAATACTTAATTAATATCTTTGATATAACCCTATCTTTATAAGTTAGTAATCTTTCCTTTATCTAAGGATATTACTAATAGTATTAGAGCTTATAGGGTTACTAAGACCTTTGAATTAGGCTTATTAAATAACTTATCGGTCCTTAACCTTTAAAGGAGTATATCTAAGAAATAACTAGCTCTTTTTTCCTTAGTTCTTCCCCGAGCGAAGATAATATAGATTAAAGAGCTATTAATTAGCTATATTATTAATTCTAATCTTTCTTTTATTACCCTCGAGAGTATTTACCTATAAGAGCTATTCTATTACTTAGATCTTAATCTTTATCTTTAGGTGCCCTAGAGTTAAAATATAATTAAGAAAGATCTCGAGGATATAGTCTCTTTAAAGAAAGTAATTATTAAGAAAGAACTTAATATAGCTATTACCTAGATATATATTAGCTTTGATCTCTAGACCTCTCTAAATAGGCTAGCTTTTATTTTAATCTTTAATTATTTTATTAATTAGAGTAATATATCCTAAAGCCGGCTATTTGCTTTTTAGAGGTAGATTAGGTCTTATATTAGTAAGAATATCGCCTATATTATAAGGAATATTATTTATAATTAGGGGATTAATTTAAAGCTTAGGGTCTTAATTTATAATAATATAATTAATAATAATATTTATTTATGAAATATCTATATTACTTTTAATATATTAATAACTTAGGTAAATATAAAGGCATAAAGGATATAATACTTTAGGTATATTCTAAACCTCGTTGCCTAAGCTTTCTTTTATAGCGATAATATAATTTCTTTTAAATTTTAATCTAAGGCTTATAATATATTAGAGTAGGTTAAAGAAGACCTCGAATATTAGCGAGCTAAGGGTCTAATTAGGAAGCTTTATAATATTATTAAGTTTATCTAAGCCTCTCTATAATATATTAAAGTATTTAAAGTATATACTAAGGAGTAAGAAGAAGTAGGTATTTATAAGCTTATAGAAGAATTAATAGCCGAGCTTAAAGTTATATAGAATAATGCTATAAGATAGAATTTAACCTATATAATAATTAAATACGCCTTAATTAAGTAGTCTAAGCTAAATAGCTTTATTTAAGAGCTAGGTCTAAAAGTAGATGCCTTAAGAAGGCCTCTTATAGCTAATATCTTAACCTCTAATAACTAAAAGGTCCTTAGGGAAGTCTATTATATCTTAGAGCTAATCTATAATATAATAATAAGAATATAGGGATAGGGTATAAATAAGGGTTATAGCTAGCTCTAGGAGGTTATAACGGGGATAGAGTTTATTCTAGAATATCTCGAAGACTAGTAGGCTCTCTATAATAAGAAACCCGCTTATATAGCTATAGAAGTAAGGCAAATAAGCTAAGGAGAGGAGCCTAAGCTAGCTATAGGTATAAAATTAATATCTATGCGGTTACTAATAATTAGCTAAACCTAAAAGCGATCCTTATGCTAATTATAATTATTATTAAGGCTTTAGGGGTATAAGCTTATGCCGTTACGTTATTATCGCAAAATAACTCTTCTAGCTTATTTATATACCTACCTATAGTTTAATAAAGATACCTTCCCTATATATTCTCGGGATAATTACCTATAGGGTAATACTCGCTCTATAAGTATTATTATTAATATAAAGGGTTAAGAGTATATAAGTATTAAGGCGAGTATTAATAATATTTAGATTAAGCTTAATAAGTATTATACTCTCCTCGGATAATTGCCTTTATTTGCGGCCTCTATTATTTTAAACCTAGACCTTAGTCTCTAGTAGCTAGAGGCTAATTAGACCTCCCTAGAGTAGCTATAATAGCTTTAAGATATAAAGGATAATATTAAAAACTATTTTAAGTATTAATACTTAAATAATAATAATATATCTAAGGAGAGTATTTTTATTATGCTATTATTAATGCCTTAACCTAAGAAAAATAGGTTTAAGTAATAGGTAAAAAGCTAATAGCCTAAGATTTTAGTAATAGGTAATAAGCTTAAATAATATTATAGGCTTAAACTAGAGTAAGTAAATAACTTTATTTAGTAATAGATTAATTATAAGAATACTTTTTTATATCTAAGTAGATTTACGTTAGATATCCTTATTATTCTAGTTATAATAATTAACTATAAGAGAGTATTTAGTCTTATAAAGCTTATAATTACCTCGTAGAGGTATTTATTACTTAGATTAAGTATTAAATCAGTTTAATTACTAAAGAACTAGATTAGGGGAGGGTATATTACTCTAGGGGGGCTATACTTAAGTAATAAGGCTAGTTAGAGCTAAGGGTAGGGTATTAAAGCTAGGGATAGCTTTATATAACTTATAATATATTAAATATCTATTAATTAATTAATTAGATTAGATATAGAGAGTAAATTATTAATTTAGATTAGATTTGGGTCCTGATCTGATTTGATTGATCTGATAGCAGCGCTGCTATAGTCTAAGCCCATCTGATAAGGAGACTGCCGGGCGATAGCAGCCAGGGCAAGCAGCTGCTTGTCGCTCAGCTTCCCGTCGTGGTCGTGGTTGCAAATCCCATATTTATCTTCGTACGGACACGCTCCGAGGAGATGGAACGCATTGCACAGCTTGCGCGATTTCAGGCTGAAGAAGTCCTCACGGGAGTACTGAGGCAATGGCGCATCCACGCGCTGGCCCAGTCTGTTGTGGTGCACCACCCCGAAGAGCAGGCTGCGTCCGGGTACAGTCGGGGAGGCCTGGGGAGTCGAGGCGGGTGGGGGTTTCGCCGCCGCAGCGGCGGCGTAGTTGGTAGAAGGAGATCCAGGTGCCGAGAGGCGGAACGAAACTCTACGCTTCATGGTGGGCAGCTTCTCGCTGCGGAAGATTTTGGCGAACGACGCCGTGGTGCGGAAACTGTCTTTGAGATCGGCCAGCTCGTTCGCGAAGGGCGGTCCTTCGAGCAGCGTAATGCGTCGACAGGCCGTCTTATCCTCCTTGTATGGCCCGAGCAGACGGGCGTAGCCGTTGTCGGGAGCGCCACCGAAGAGGATCTGCCGGCAGTGGACGTCTACCACGTTGATCCGGAAAGTCGCTTTGGGGAAGATCGTCAGCTATTGCGCGAGAGAGAGAGAAACGGGATGGTCAGGGTTGGAGCTACCTTTGATCTTCTCGTCTGCGCACTCTTTACCGTTGCCAGCATCCACAAAGTCACACAAATCATCACCCATATTGAAGCCTCTCACGAATTCGAAGAGCGTCGCTAGGTCGGACAGGATGTCGTGATCCTTATAAGTCTTGGCCAGGCCTTTGAGGTTGGCATATACTCGAACAATAACTCTCACATGGCTGGCCCCGCTGCCCATCGTGCACTTGAGGTCCTCGTCTACAGCCTGTCTGAGAAGACTTGCAGTCTTCTGACCCCCTTCGAGGCCCTGACTCACGAGGTCATCTTTGAACTAGGCTTAGATGTCAGACGAATATTCGAGGATGTCTGGCCAGGAGTAGCGGGATATTGGGTTGGACGTACCGGCATACAGTCGCCGTCAATCAACACAGACGCAAACATATGGCCATCCTGCCTCAGGTTAATTCAATTTGGACAGGATTTCAACGACTGTAATGGCTTACCTTCTCATGCAGGAAATCCTGCAACTGCCTTGTGGCATCATCGAGACGCTCACGTTCTAAATGGAGCAAGTCTTTCTTGTCACGAAGGTCCGACTGCGCGTCGGAAAGCTGCGTGGATAGATCATTGATGTATGCAAATAGATTCTGAGAAGCCCAGGTGAGCAAGGGAGCAGGCTCCCTGACTTGGAGGGGGCTGATGGGCGGCAACTTACCTCGATCAAATTGCACCTTTCATTGTCATGGGCTTTACACGTGTTCCACGCGCTCTTCAGTTCGTCCAACTGCGATTCAGAGCTTGCCATGGTTCCCGTGAAGGACATATCAGTGGGCGAAAGCGACCAGAAGAGACGAAGAGCTACGCAGGAATCCAGTGAGGACACGCACAATTTATCACTTAATTCTGCTGGGCTCAGCCTGATCACTCCAGGGTGTGGTCGCACGCCCGCCTGGTCGAATGGTTGGCCAACACCTATATTGCCTCTCGTAATCGCGGACACGCTGTTTTGATCTGACCCACTTGCGGTCTGATATTCCCTCGTACCACACAGAGTGATCCACAATAATGATCCACAGCACCGAGCCATCAGGCTGCAACGACGGAACGATCCCTCTCCCAGATCCAATGTCTCGCCAGGATGAACGTCTTGAGCAACACAAAGAGGGTCGTTTGATCACTGACCAACGCTCGGGTCTCCCTCAAACGTAGCACGGCCGATCACGCGCCCCCACAACCCCTCAGGAAGCCACCCCAGCTCGACCAAGACAACTCTGTTTGTCAGATAATTGGCTCCACAGGGATCATTAATGGTACCAGTCAATTTTATGAGAATTATTTAAAGAACAAAAGAAATTAAACAGCCATGAGTTCGGGCATAGCTATTTAAGCTCATATCGTCAGGATTGGAACCCTTGATGCGACAAGCCGGATATGAAACCGGGTACGCGACCCCAAAGTACGGGCCGCGTTTCTGTTGAAGTATAAGTCTCAACAGTCTTCTGGGGGTAACCCCATTTTTGTTTTAACAGTTTCATATCCCCTCGCACGAACCTTGTTATGATATACGACACTGTTACCAAGACTGTGTCCCCAGGCCTTTCTAGTGGGCTTAGCCACCGCCCGCCACAAGCCTACTACCAAGATTATTGCTCTGCATTATAACTACTACCCTGCCCAAGCCTACTATCCCGCCAGTCCTACTACCGGCTACTAGCCAGCCATCGTTAGACACATTTCCTCCGGGGACTTCCTCAAGTCTTTGCGCCCTTAATTATGATTTCCCCATTATCATTCACAACCATTACACAAAACCATCAGGCTTCCATATCACTATTCAATCGCGTTCGACAGGCATTCTCCGCCACGGGGAACCAGGCCAATATGGATCCCCATTCCTAGCGGCTACCATCCTCGTACTCGGCCTCCAAGCCTAGCGGCAAGCAGACCGTCATCCCCAACCCCAGGGTCTTCGCTAATGCCCTTATCCCCAGCGAGCCTAATGTAGGTAACCTCGAGACCGCCCTGGCCTACCCTGACGTTAGCCACGCCGCGGTTTATCTGGCGCTGCTTGAGTACTTCCGGAATCTATGGCTTAGCGCCAGCGCGCTTGATATCGAGGTCAACCGGCCGCTGGCATACGAGTAGAGGCCCCGCACTACCTCGGCCGCGCCGACGAGGCTCCCCGAGTCCCAGAGATGGGACCTCCTGATCGGCCTGGCCGTTACGCGCTTAGCCGCTTAGTGGACAAACATCAACGACGTCCTGAACCACGCTGCGGTATACGCGCACCACGCCAGCGACAGAGTCGCCGTCCAGCTAGCCAAGGATTACCTCCCGCCCCTAGACGTGCTGCTCGTATGGTACGCCTTCATGCTAGACACGGATGCGTACCGCGCCGCATACCACGCCGCGTGCCGCGACCGCGAGCCCCACGTCCCCCCCCGGATCCAGAAGCTCTGTTTCCCCTGGCCGGCCATCCGCGACGTCATCGACATAGAAAAGATACAGTTCTCGCTACCCCGCGCCGCGCAGACCCTCTTCCTCACGCTATCGGGGCAGTCTGCCGACATCCTGACGTATCTCAAGAGCCCCCCGGCGTACATTAAATCAGGTACGCTGCCATTCGAGGTTAATCTTACTGCCGAGGTCAAGAAGCATAAGAAGTTCATCAACGAGGCTCACGGCCTACTATGGATCCGCGCACCTGCTCTCAATAGATCGTTGGCGAGGGCATCTGTGGATTACTTGGACTTTTAGCTGAGAGGAGTAACCGCTAAAAAGAGTGGAGGGGACCCGCCGTTTGGCATCGAGCTGCTCTGGCGAACGCATCGACTATTCCCGAACCAATACGAATTATCCCTCTAGGACATTGGGGATAGCAGATAGAGCAGCGACTCTAAAGGCTCCGCGCTCCGGAGTCTCACCTTGGGCCCAGGGGCTACAGATCCAGGCCTCGTCTACGGAAAGTATTGCTATTAGACGTGCGAGCGCATTCGGGACGATATCCCGATATTCATACATATACCGCCTCCATATACCTCCTCCTCTTCCGCGGACCCCCCCGCAGCCATGCAGGGCCAGCTTTCCTCACTCTCGCCAGGCCAGCTCCGCCAAATTCAGGACGATCTAGGTTTCTACAACGCAGTCAAGAGCGCACGCAGACGCAGCGAGCCTCTACCAACGAGGCCACCGATAGCGGCGGAGAAGGACGCCGAGAGGATCGCCAAGGAAAAGCAAAAAGAAGCTAGATATCTACCGGGCCTAAACGAGTATATCAAGGTCCTACTCGATGGCAAGCAGAAGATCCGGAGGCAGAAGCATACAACGCCCTTTAGTTCGACAGCAGGGGCATAATTTAATCGGTTTACAGATTTCTTAACGTAACTTATCAAACGTCGACTATTATACCTGGTCATATCGACGGCTATTATCATCTTTTACCAAGAGCATAGGCCCTAGTGCAGTTTTGCATTAGATAACTCTAGGTATATAAACTAGTAACTGAAGCTGCCCCCATAGGACTAATACTAGACGATACAAGGGCAGCAACGAGATGCAGCAAAGATCTACAACATTCCTCGTACAACCCTCTGGGACCGACGCGCTAGCCGACCTACACGATGCGATATCTTGCCCAACTCGTGTAATTTTACAGAATTAGAAGAGGATACTATTTTACAATACGTACTTCAGCTATGTGCGCGATCTTTTCCGTCTAGCTTACGTGGTGTGGAAGATATGGCCAACGACTTCGAGAAGGTTTCCTAGAAGTTCCAAAGGGGAAGCGGCTCGAGTTAGTCCAAGGGATACTAGACGGAGAGAGAGCCAGGCTCCGGGCAATAACAAAAGGCCTACAATTCAAAAGATATCGTATTGCAAGAAATAGCGATCCAGTAACCAGCCTTGCCGCGGTGGCATCTTACCATCAGCTAGCTCTCTCATAATTATCTACCTCTATTAACCAAATAAAATACTACTCTGACATCGTCCAGATAAAGTGTGTATCAAGTATATTAGCCTTTCATTAGACTACGTAGGTCAGTATACCCACCGCAGGTCGCCCCTCTCTCCCGTAGCATCCTTTACCTTCCACTTTTGCTCCATAAAATGGCTATCGCCAGGGCTCTTAGGATTAGTCTCTATCGAACTGGTCAGGATTAAGATTCGAAGCTAACACAGATTTTCTCATTAGGCGATCCCTCTTAAAAGCCGCGACAAATCCTAGCGCAGGTCAAATCGAGGCTTATGGCAAGAAATTTAATAAGTTTTCTATATATAACGCAGGGGTGGACATCTATCGAATGGGGAGTCAAATCAATAGATTCATTCGACGCCAAGTCTTATGAATGTCGAATCGAACGCTAAGACATTTGATTCGCATCGAATCTACTATTAGCCTATTCGATTGGCTAAAACCTGGCGGGGATATTGTTTTCGTGTGATTTTAATTAGCGCGTTGAAAGGCCAATAGGGGACAAGACCCATACTATTTGTTGGCAAGTTGGGCCCCACGGCCTATTTTGTTCCCATCCGTTGGCACCAATATGAGCTCGATTTTAGCCTATCTTCCCTTGAGTTTAGGACTAATTAACTGTATCGGCTGCCTATCTATCCCATTGCGGGAGCTTTATTCCCGTTTGGCTTTGCGCTGGCTCTGCGCCGGACATTAGGAAACGAAATACTATCATGGTTCCGAGTTTAGATTGGAGGGGGTTATGCGAGGATGATGAAAATAAGATGAGATGACGACAAAAATTGCGGACTTCGCTTTAAGTTCCTGAGCTATTGCTGTCCCCTTGATTGTTACTAGGAAAAGAAGACGAGGTAAGCCACGGCATAGAGAGGAGAGACAGTCAATCTTGTCTTGTAGAGAACCTAACTTAGGGGCCTGCGGGTTTTGGTTCCTTAGGGGAGGGAGTTAGCTGGTGGGTCGACGCCGCAAAATGCGTGCCACCAAGGCAGATGCGCGATGCCTGGAAGCGAGTAGACACATTTAGCTTTTTTGCTGCTTGGCCTTGGTAATAATGCTAGGCAAGCTGGGGTGAGAACGAAGGGAAATACGATGTAGAGGAGCCAAGTCGCAAGGATATAGGAGATCACGAGGCACGATTAGGAATAAGGTGACGGTAATTAGAGCAACATGGATAAACCGCAATCCGGGGGTCCGTTTGTTAGTTTGGGGACTTATTTCAATGCATAGAAGGTTTAGAAGTGATAGATTTGCCAATGGGGAATATGTTGGTTTTAGGGTAATTTAAAGATTGATTTAATTCGCGTATAGGTAATCTGGTATTCTGTTCTATCCCGTTAATACTAAGTGATCAGTGGATATGCTCCTATTAGCTCCTAAGTTAGGGGTAAAATAAATTTATCCCAATAGTATCTATGTTCCTAACCGACGTGTTCATCATAAAAAGCCTATTCTCGTTTCTATCGCGACCACTATGACATAGCGCAGTCCGGAAAAGGCTACTAACGCAGCAGACTTTGCGGTATATATGTAAGAAGCTATGATAATGCCTCTCTATTTATATAGTTTCTAAAACCCATAGAATAAATCCCTCCTAAGTATTAATTAAACAAAGTAAAGAAATAAGAAAAGTAAGAGATAATTAGATAGTAACTAGGGGTAATTAAAACCGTGATACGCTAATAATAAAAAGAGCACTAAAGGAGTAAAGTTAAAAGAGTCCCATCGGTCTAGCTAGAAAGGACGAAAGATATATATGGCTATAAAAGGCCTGCTAAGGGCCAGGCTATTAGCTCTAGGTTAGGCAAGTGGCCTAGGGCGGTTTTATAAAGATCCTATAGAGGCGGGTAGATTAATTCGATAGCTAAATCGATGAGATAAAGGGGCGGTTATATTATAGAGAATTAACCGGGTTAAGGCTAGCTCACGAGAACCTAATATAATTGCGATTAGTGAGGTATATATAGAAATAGGTGGGGGATTATATTAGAGTTTCGGAACTAATATATATATATATGCATGCGCGCTATCGCGAATGCCTAGTAAGACCCGAGTAAACCTTATATATTGCCTCTATAACCGAGGACTAGAGGTTACTATACCCGCTAGAATCGGTTAAAGCTAAGAGTTATATTATAAGAGGCGGAGGCTAAAGCCGATAATTCCTAGAGGTTAAACTAATTAGAAAAGTTTATTATTTAGCCGTCGCTAGAGTTATTTTTTTACTTAGCCTCGTTTAGGCAGAAGAGGCAAAGGGAGACTAAGAGGCGGGCTAGGATAAGGAGGGAATTATAAAGGTTACTAAGTAGGTATATTAATTATAGTACTTATTGCTTAATTAGATTCAAATAGTTATTAAGAGAGCTAAGTATAATTAGCTAAGTTCGTAACGATTAGCAATATTAAGTATTAAGTAATATTAAGTAGTCGGGATAATAGTAATATAAGAGAGTTAAGTAACGCGAGATATATTATAAGGAAGTATAAGCTAGAAAGAGGCGATAGTAAGTGCCTAAATACTTTCTTAATAAATTAATAATAAAATAGGGCTAATCAACTAATAATATTATACTCTTATAGCTTTAGCGACTCCTAGTATCCTAGGCATAAGCTATTATCTCTCTAAAATATAATATAAACCTTTATTTTCTCGCGCTTTAGCCTCTTTTATTTACTCCTTCTAATATAATCCATAGGAACTTAATATAACCCCTAACTTTACTTACCTTTATTACTTTATTATATTTAGAATACGCGGTTAATAATACTTAATAATTTCTTAGTGAAAATAGCTATTAATTTTAAATTAAAATAAGAATTAACTAAAAATACTCTCTTTAATTAATATACTTAATAAATAAGCGCCGCAAATAAGTAAGAGCTATATTAGGATTTATACCTTAAATCGAGGTTTTCTAGGGATTAATTAAGAGCTTATAGATAACTTTTATATGATTTATATAATAATTTTAGTAGTAATATATCGCAGGCTAGGCATGAACTCAAAGAGCCTTAGGAACAGGGGCCCAATAGGGCCATAGGTACCCGGCGATTAATAGGTAGGCTCCTATCTCAACCAACTAAGCCAAGTAACTTAATTAATACACACTAAATAGTAGTAGCAATATAGCTATACGGATTAGGGTAATATTTAAAGTCCTTGAGGTTATATAGTTAGCGATTAATACGCAATAGTTTAAGCTCTATAACCCCCCGTGAGATCTGACTAGTCCTATGCTAGCGCGGTAATTAAACTTAGATATATCCCCTGCTTTATTGACTCTATAGTCTAATTCTTATCCGGATAGCTAACCGTTAAGGGGGTCGAAGGCTAATAAAGCCGAAGTAGTAAGTCGGGGGCCAGGCATGCTAAAAACAGTAGATATCAAAGATATAATAAAAAGAAAGAGACGCCTTTACTATTAAGCTAAACCTATTATAATTATCCTTTGTTCCTTTAGTGCGGCCCGCTTAGCTTATACCCTCGAAAAATTTCCCGCCCCTGCTTATAGCTTATACTATATAAGTCCTTTCCGAGAAGCCGCTTATATAGGGTCTAAGCTATATTTATATAATGCTTAAAGCTATTCTTATTATATTAACCTAATGCAATGCTATTATATATCGAGATATTATATTAGCTGCTTTTTATTAATTAACCGCGTTAAGAATAAATACTAATTACCCACGGGAACTAGGTCTAAGACGGCGCGGTAATAAAGGTAAGGACCCTAAAAAATAAGATTAAGATAACCTCTCTATAGTATAGACCTCGAGATAAATAAATGGAATAGGAAGTAAGAATATTCTATAGCTAATAGGCCGGTTAAATCTATATCCCTAAGTCCCCAAATAATATTACTATATAAGCTTTTAGATAATATATCTACCCTAGAGGTCCCTATAATAATATCTTATTATCCTTGCTATTCTTATCCTATTTTAATCCTATCTTTATCCTTACTCGGGTCGCACTAAGTGCTATTACCGTCGATATAAGGCCTCTCGCTATAACTTCTCTTTATATACTTATATATATCGACTAGACTTATAGATAAGGTAGTTCTAAATAAGGCTATAATTATATCCTAAGTGCTATAGAAGTTATATCTTAAGCTTATATACCTCGAATATTAGGTCAGCTATATAGGTAAAAAGATCGCGGTAGATATACTCTAGGTCCTACTAGCTTAACTTAAGTTTTAGCTATTCTTCCCTTTACTTAATATAGAGCTTACTAAATATTATTTAGTTTTATTCTTAGATTCTATTAATGCGATTATTATTATATTAGGCTAGATAAGCGCTATTACTATTAGTATTTCTTATATAGCGAAAAGTTAAATAGTTTATCTTAGTTATTACTTTTAGATTAATATCTCTATTACTTAGCGGAATTCTTCTAATAGATTTGCGAGATATAAGATTATTAGAGTAATAATTTTGCTTTTGATTTAGTTTCTTTATTATTGAGGGTAAGTCCTAATAGCCCTAGATAGGAAGTAATTCCTTAGAAATCCTATGCTTAGATATTAAAAATAGGGGCATATCCGCTATAATAAGATCGAGGCTATTCTATAAATTTATATAATCGGTCTTATAGCTAATATTATGCTAATAGTCTATCGAGTCGGTATTATAGCGATAGAAAAAGCTATTAAGTAGAGGACTAATCTATATATAAACGCCGTTTAATATACTGCTTTTATCTTCTAATATACTAAAGGGGATTAGCGGGTTTAATAATTACCCTAGCTCCTATAGAAGAGATTCGGGGATATAGGATATCCCAAAGGTTGAGTTATCTCCTATATCTCTCGGCTTACCTAGGACTCTATCGTTTATAAGATAAAGAGAGATCATAGGGTATACCATATAGTACCCACCTGCCATATATACCTACCTACCGTATAATAAAAAAATTTTTTCCCTATATAAAATGCCTAATTTTACTTATAGAGTATATTATTAAAATAAAAGATATTTTTATAAGAAAATATCTATTATATTAAGAATTATATAGAATTTAATATTTCTACTTTACTTCTATAGTAATACTTACGGTATAGTCGCATAGAATTAATATAAACTATCTTAAAATACCTCTCTTATTAATTAGCCTCCTCGAAGCTTTATCTAAAATTTTCTCTTTTACCTCTTTCCTTAATTATCTTAAATATGCCTTAATTATTTTATATAGAGGATAATATTATCTAAGCTATATTAGATATTATAGAAAATAGCCTCTCTTAGAACTAGGCCGCCTAAAAGAATAGCGTGCCTCTAATTACTCTCTCTAACTAATTAAGAGGCCTATTATTAAAATATAAGGTTACTTAGCCTACTTAGCTACTATCTAAGTTAAAAGAATCTAGATTAATTATCTAGATACTTCGATAAGAGGCCTTAGGCTATGCTCTTTCTTATAGTTAAGTTCGCGCTATTATTATTACCCTCTTAAGATAATAAGGATAGGAAAGGCCTATCGGTATATATTAGCTAGCTAGGTTTATTAAATACTATAATAATATTAAGATAAAAGTAAAGAAATACTAAGAAGCTATAAGGTTTAATTTCTTTACCCTAATAGCTATTAATTAATACTTTAATATCTAAGAGAGTAAATATAGCTAGATTAAACTAGAGAATATAATTAATATTAATAAGGGTAGTATTATAGCTAGATTTAATAAGTATTAATTATTTTTATTATTAAACTTATTAATCTATTAAAAAATATAGGCTTAGATTCCTTAGTTATTAGTAATAGCGATCCTAGGAGGAAGGCCTTCCTTAAGGGCTTATAGTCCCGCATTTAGATTACCTTTATTAAAGCTATTATTATAGATAGTTATCTTTTAAAGCTAGGGATTATCTTTAAAGGTAAAGAGCTTTAATAATAATAATTTATTAATAAGCTCCGGGAGATCGCCGATTAGTATTATATTATATCTAATAATAGCTAGATAGATAATTATATTATAGTTAAGTAGCTTAAAGAGGTCTATTTACTTTAAATATAACTAGTAGATAAGTTTAATATAAGGCTTATTATATTAGATAGCTATAGAAGCTATATATCTATGAGTATCTACTTATTCTATATCGGAAATATTATTAATAGCGCTAATTAAAAATCTAAGATAAATAGATAGCTATATACTTTTTAAATAATATATATTATTATTACTTACCTATATATTACTCTTATAGGCTATAGCTATTAGATAATAATATCTTTAATATATCTAAAGCTACCTACTAAAAAGAACTATAAAAACTCGCTAGCCTAACTAATTCTATACTAATAGATAAAATTAATTTTATTAAGGCCTATATTAAGGCTAGGGAAGTAGGTATAATAAAGAAAAATATACTCTTAGGCTAAAGAGTAATTAGAAACTAGCTAATTTTATAGCGGAAAGCGCTTATATATCTTAAGATTTAGCTAGATAAGAAAGAAATAATACCCGGGTTAGATAACTACCGAGATAAATAAATTAATTCTAATAATACGCTAAAGACTAGCTATTATATCTAAGATCTAAGGAAGAATAAGACCCTATTAATAAGAAGGCACTATTTTATAATATTAAGAGGGTTTAAAGCTTAAGAATTAAAGATTACCTTTCTAAGTACTAAAATAATTAATCTAGAGGAAGAAGTTAGGTAATTAAATAAAGGTAAAAAGAGGAAGGCGATATTAAATCTTAATAAAAGATTTATAATATTAATAGAAGCTTTAATAATTAGTAAAATTATTTCTAAGGTAAATAAAGTAATAAAAGAGGCGGATATTATTAAGGATATAATTAAGGTAGGAGGGATAGAAGATAATAAGAGGTCGAATTCAAAGGAGGAAGAGTTAGCTATAGTATATATACGCATAGGGTATTAAATTAAAATACCGCGAAAATATTAAAATTTACTTAATTCTAAAATAAAATTCGAAAATTATTTTATGGTTTTTATTTTTAGTGAATTTTCTATATATAGTTAAAAAATTATATTTTATATAGGGAAATTTTTTTTTTATTATATAGTAGGTAGGTATATATAGCAGGTGGGTATTATATGGTAAGTGGGGGTGTCTATTAAGTGGTCGTGGATGGTATTAACTCTATGTTTGCCTGGTACTGTGATGTAGAAGTGTGCTATGTGTTTCTCGTTGATGTACCGAGGATCTATTGTAGAAATCGAGATCCCTTTTCGCTCTTCTACCAGAGTTGACGGTTCGTACGTGGATGGATCTTATAAGAGTTTCTCGCGCCTTAGGAGGTGGTTTTCTTTGACTAAGATTGGCGGAAGATAGGCCGTAGAGCGTCGTCGCTGAGGAATAAAATAGCTTCTATAATAGGGACTAATGTCTCCTTTATTACGGGCAAGTCTCTCGCGGATGTGAGTGTCGCCTTGAAGATATCGTGGCTATCCCGAGGAGTTACTAAAAGGGTTAAAGATGTAATATATTGCATACTTAGAATCTTTAGTATTAATATGCCTTTTCTATATAGCAAAGGAATAAATATATTCGTCTGCCTATAAAAAGAGATTATTAAAATATCTACTGACCATACTATCTTTTGCTAGACTTAGGTTAAGTTAATACCCGGCGAATAGGTTAATATGCTCGCTCCCACTCTAGCGGCGTTTGAGTTTTCTGGCGACTATATGTAGTCATAGATGGGATTAATAACCTACGAAGAGGTATCTCCATACTCATTCACTAATACTAGTCTCTCCATCCAGCTTCCTCTCGTCTCAGCATGGGCCTATTTATTTGCTCTTCTGAAGGCTTATTACCCCCCCGCCCTGGGAGGCTCTGTCATTCCTCTCGCCTACATCCCTGAGCTCGGAGCCTTCAAGCGGATACCGTTCCCTCTAGGCCCTATTTCTATCGAGCCGTTCCTCTCAAAACCCCCCAACACGTGCTTGTAAGCGCGAGATCAGGTCCAAGTCGGCCACATCCGATATCACCCATGCCCCAATTCCAGTATGGCCTCATCTTCACTATCTTCGTTAATGATGTACTGAAATTCGTCGGCCATCCCATATCTAGATTTTGGGACCCCCTAGAAACAGATTCGCCCTCTGATTTCATCGACACATATCCTGCAGGCTTGTGGGACGCTCAACGAAGCTTGATCATGTTTCCGATCTGGCATAGTAAGCCAGAGCAAATATCTGCCATCATGGTACGGCTTCAAGTCCAGCGCATTTCAGGATGCGTCATGTTATTTGCCATCCGGATACGAAGGGCTGGCGAGGACTTATGGTTCTGCAGGCTCTACCCTGCCTCCGGATGGGGTGGCAATGAATCCGAGCGCCAGGTAGTGATGCAATTTCCTATATACATATATACGTATATACTATATTTTAGCCGCTATATATATATATATAGAAAAGTTATATGTATAAAGTTATGCTATATAAACTTTCTCCTTCCCTTTTAGGTAATTTTAATAGCTTAGTAGGCTTCTTATCGTTTTTATCCTTTACTATTTTAGCCTTAAACCTCTATATTTACCTTAGTATTAACCCCTAATATATTACCTATTAATTATAATATACCTTCTTACCTATAATCTTTATTAGTAGATATTATCGCGCTATTTATTTATACCTTTTTGCCTTATATATTTATAAATAACTCTAAATATAAATCTTTAAGTTCTAGCTAATCCTTCTCCTTAAGATCTACTTAGCGCTTTTTATATATATACTTATAATCCTTAAGGCGATCTAATACGTAGTTATTTATAAAAATAAAGGCCTATATATTAGTATATATAAGAGTAAAGTAATTCTAAGCTTTTATATATATAAAACTAATAATAGAGAAACTTTATTTTAAAGGTACTAAGTTTATAAGTATATTTATAACCTTTATAGTTATTCTAGCTAGGATTAAGCCCTAGTTAAGGAGGCATTATTATGCTATTATTAATATAAAACTATTATTATATATAGCGCTATACTTATTAAATAAGCTATTTAGGCCGCCTATATATATTTAGAAGTAAGTAAATTTAGAAAGGGTATAGTAATATTTATTATTATTCTTTAGCTATTTTTTTAAATACTCTTATATACGCGCAAAGACGCTAGGCAGTAACTTCGAATTTAGGCTAGTTATATCTGGCCGGAGGGCATCGGCGATCTAATAGATATTATATATTTACTTATTAAGCCGGGCTTTAAATATAGCATTAATATCATCCTATGGAATATTAGGGAACTAATTAGCCTCTCTTATCTTAGCCTATTTGCTTTTAATTTATAGCTGGCGATTTATAATATATATAATCCCTACCTTATTAGCCTTAGAAGTATATTAAAATTTATCCATAGGCTTTAATACTGCGACTATAGCCTTAAGTTTTAGCTAGAAGCTATTATTTTTAATAATTTAAATCGCTTCGGGTAAGAAGATAAGGTAATCTTAAGATTATAGCTCCTCGCATATATCTTTCTAAATAGACTAGTCTTTAATAAGGTCTTAAAAATAAAAGAGAGAGAAAAAAGAATTATACTAAGAGCCTTAATATATAATTATATTATTTAGGATAAGTAAGTTAATATAAGTTTTTAATAATAATTTCTTAGTAATAGCTAATAATTTATTAATACCTTTCAATTAATATATAAATTATTTTATTCTACCTTATGCGCTAATATATCCTTAACCTTTATAATTATAATTTAAAATATAAGAAGAATATAAGAAGAATGTTAATATTATTTAAGAGATCTTTAAAAAATAAAAAATAAAAAGATATCTTTAATAAGAAGCTAAAGGCTATAGGAATTAAGAGAAGTTAATATATAAGAGCTTAGGGTATCTCCCTAGTAAGTTATATATAGAGCATATTATATTCTTAGTATCTATATAAATAAAATTAATTCTAAAGAAATTATTTCTATATAGTTTTTATATTTCTCTTTATATTAATTCTACCTAATTCCCCACTATATATTATATATCTCCTATATTAAGTGTCTTCTAATAGAAGGCTGGGCTATTTAATAGTTATACTAAGATATTAATAATTCTATATCCCGAGATATTATTAGAGGTATTAAATATAATATTAAATTATTTTAAGCTAGTAATATACTTAAAAACCTTATTATAGAGTTCCTAATAAAAATTAAGAAAAATTCTTATAATAATAATATAGCTAAGAGGCTTCTAGCTAGGCTTAATATAAATAAAGAAATAACGCTAATAATAGCTCTTAAAGAGGCTAAAGGGGTAATTACCTGCGATTATACTAGCAATAGTATTATAGGCAAAACTATGACTCTTATCTTACGAGATATATTAAATTCTAACCTCGGTTATTTTCTTTTATATAGCCTTAGAGTATAATAAAAGGCAACTAATATTATCTTAAGCCTAGCGCTTTTATTACTACTTAGCTTATTATTTCTTATATATAGCGAGATATTCTTTCGGCTTCCTAATAAAAGTTATAGCGAAATCCTTCTAGTAGTAGCGATATCTATATCGCTTATTTTTCTTAGGGTTAAAGCGGCCGAGGTTAATAAATTATTACTAAATAAAGGCTATATTAGCTTTAATAGGGGCTATATTTTTAGTAATACCTTTAATTAGGAGAGAATAGTAGAGTTATATTAAGTTATAAAGCTAGTAAAGTTTTATATAGCTCTATATTTATATAATATAGCTTAACGTACATGCATAGCGAGCCGGACA